ACAATTCTGTTCCCAGGTATCGCGCGCATGAGGCTTCAAAGCTGTGGATTGCTGTGCGTGTGTAGAGGTTATCGAGCGATTGACGGAAAGGGAACTTGAAGTACTATACCTGGTAGCTGCACTATAGCTACCCTGGGTCTCTATACCTGGCAAGGTGCCAACTACACCTTTCCATTCAGATGATGCAAGTGATGCAAATTGCATTTCTTGCACCACCACCCCTCAACAATCACCTCCAACACAACCTCAAAAAACCTTTCCTCGACGCACCCTCCTCCCCCAGCATGTGCCGAGTTTACGTGTACCTTTTGCGGGCCACCCCCCCAGACCCCCTAACTACTCACTTCGTTCGTCAAACACAACTCCGCCAGCGCCTTCTACGAAGGCTGGCTTTCGTAACGTTCATAGTTCATACCCAAACAACGCAAGTTGCAGTTGTTCACCCACCGGGATGTTCATGCTCATAATTAATCTTCTGTTATATAATCTGTCTTCTCTTGCTGCTGCTACATGGGTCTGTCTCAAAATGAAGAGACCTACCCAACTGGACTAGACTAGAACCTGAAACTGTTTCACATCTTGCTGGATCTCGTCATTTGATATCATTTAATGACTTGTGTTAATTAACACAAAGAGAAACTTACAACTCCAATCTCTCCGAAACCCTCTGTTCATCCGCCAGTGCGGAACCGCAAACTTCCAACCGCCGGCTCCGCGCGCTCCGCGTTGTCCCTCCGCCCCGCCATGCTCCGCCTGTTCACATAGCTGTCAACATCGCAGCGATGGTGACAACAGGTGGCCACGCACACCATGACTCCACCTGCGACTTGGCTAGGCAGCTAGCTGGTAATGTAAAGATCTCAAACAAGTGTATAGTGTATATAGAATAAATGATGTTAGACTTAGAGATAGTTTGAAAATAAACAACAAGCGGGTATATAGACAGTCAAACAACTGCAGCAACTTGAATCTCACGTTATTCGATGGATTCTTGTCGACATGGACAACCAGAGTCCTTGGGATGGTGACCAACCAGAAGGACGCCAGAGGAGGTGTGAACGAAAGGGTAAGAAATTGTACATTATGTAAAACCAGAAAAATACAGTATGAAAAATATGAAACAACAATAACAAACTCTCCCCCACACCCCCACAAAACATCTCAAAGCACTTCCCAAAAAGCATGGCACACGCCGGAGAAGCGTTACGCATCGGTTCCCAACCCCTCCCAAACCTTTATAGTGCGACGGCAATGTGCTTTCCCCTTCCAAACATAGCGACCACCTGGTCCAAAATCCTTGGGCCGTCCAAACCTGATGCGGGTAGTTCGGTGACTCGTGCGAGTTGGGTGACTCGATGCCCGAATCACCTCTTAGGCTCTTAGGAAGTTGAGAAACATATAATTTTATCATAAAGTGGTTCCACATAGAGGTGTCTTTTTTCCAAGAGGTGTTCAAATATGTTCAAATCACACATTCCCAAAATTCCACCACTTGGAGGCTCCTAACTCCTAACCTGATAGAAAATAAAATGCCTGCGCCCGCCTTTGCTTCCAGCTTCGGCAGGGAAGGCCTGGTGCCAGGGGGATGAATCTGCATGGTCCGAAACACCACCAGGTGGGGAAGCCAAGATTCTGCTTCTGGATTATGTTCAGTCTTTGACATCGTCCTGGCATCTGGATCCACCACAGTAGAATATGACAGAGGAAAATAGCAGAATTTGGGCCAATCCTCTCCAACTGTCTTCTCCAAAGCCATCTGGTATCAGCCTTCACAGCTCCACCCCCCCCCACCTTTCCAGCCACTGTTTCAAACAAACAGGAACAAGTCTTCGACATAAAACATGATGTGCCATGATGAACAACGTCTCCAAACATGGATCGGTCAAATCTCTGATACATAGGTATAAACAAAGTAAATAGTGCAAAATAACCTGATTAACATAAATAGATATATAAATGTATAGATCAAAATAACTAACCAGTGACTATAATATAGTATACACTTGATTGAACTCAACATCACTCCTAGTGTATGCAGGTTTTTGTCATGTCAGGCACCGCTTCGATTCACCCCACTGCGCCTTGAGAGATCTCAAGGCGATATCAGTGGCCCCGCCACCTCGACTGATCGACCGCCGGGACGTGCAAGGACAGAACGACGGGAAGGGACTCGACCGCTTGGCGCTCTGCTCTGTGTGTCGTTCTTCGGACCTGAAGACCCCAAGAAACGAGGAGTCCTCGATGACGAGGAAACTATACCAGAGTAACATAGAGTGAGTGTGATCGTGAGAATTCCTGGTGATCAAGGTAGATCAAGGTAGCAGTTCCTACTGTATATGGTGGCAATACTGGTGGTGATAACAATGAATCAATGGTGAATCAGTGAATCTGCTCACATTAGTGCCTTCCCCCTCCTGCCAGCGGGCGCCCGCAGCTGGGCGGCCGAGCAAAGATGCTTGGCACACGCCACCAGTCTGGAGGGAGGCCATGGCCCACTAGCCTCAAGCGGAGCCAAGCGCGCGTGACATGGCTCACATGATGAAATCTGGTGCACCCACTGGTACAGAAAAAATGTGCACCACCCAAATTGTGCGCGAGTCTGTTTTTCCCGCTCGAATGCATGCTCCAAAAACGAACGTGTTCAATCTATTTGGGGGGGGCAGCATGCTCAGCAGGCAGACACAACAAACATCAACAAACACAGTTTCCACCACTTGCGAAGTAACAGATCCGAAATCATTTTTCCTTGGGGAGATGGTTCATTTCATTTCATTTCCCTTGTTGTTTTATCCATCTGCTGCTCTTGAGGGCTTCCTCTCTTGAACTTTGCACGCAGTTAAAAACTTGAACAAAAAGACTCTAGAAGTGGCAGCTTGAGCATCTCTCCCAATTTGCCCATCATGTCATGTTGTTTTCCCACTTCATCCCACTTCTTTACTAGAGGTTCTGAACTTGCCGCATTTAAATTGGTTCTTTATCAACCTGAAGCCTTCAACCCTGACTCCAAAACCCCAAGGCGTGTGAATCAACAAACTGCAAGACTGCCTGGAACGCCGCCGCAGATTGCCAGAGCTCCTGGGATCCGTCCGTTCATGTGATGGCGTTTCGGAAGGCGGGGAATTCACATGAACGAAACCTGGGTGGAATCAGAGACAACCATGGGTGGGCCATCTTTTGCCGAAACATGGCTCAAGAACTGACCATCACAAAGATTGAATGCTATTGTCCTGTTCTGCTGAAGCTCTGAAGTGGGTATTTGATGATATGTGAATGCAAATGCACATGCATTACATAATATATTATATATACAACAAATTACAACAACATGTTGTGCAAAAGTAGAATCCAATTTGTACCTGCACATTCCCACTCAACATACAGCAACCCACTCATTGGGAGCTTGGAGCCCAGGTATATACCGCCCATTCGCCTCTCACGCCCACGTTTCAATCCGCCTGCAAACGTTCAGCGGGTCCCAGAAAGGCTTCTGAGCTGCTAACAGACCTGGGGAAAGCTCCGGGTCATGTGGAAATGCCTGTCTCTATGACACCAAGTGGTTGGTTAGCCTAGCCAATGCTGCTGATTTCATTGAAAACTGAACTGGATAATTTGATAGGTCCTATTTGCACCCCTTTTGCGGCTACTTGTACACTTGTGTTCACATACATGGAATGGGAAAGTGTGCCCTGCACTGCAAATAAAACAGGCCTTGGTTGGGGGACAACTTTCTGGCCCATTGCATTGATTCATGTTTACACGACAGAAAAATTGTTCGCTCACAATCCAAACTGTCTTTGTGGAGGAACCGAGTCTTTCTTGTCCATGGGAGCCATGGACAGCTCATGCGTTATTCCAGCAGCTAGCCAACCACCTGATGGCACCCTTCTGTCTGAGGTGTCATTGTTGAAGATTCCCAAAGTGCTCCATCCAGGTATGTGGCTCCAGCAATCAGACCTCCTGTTTGGACTTACCAGCATGTTCAAAACATGGCCGTTTGCATGGTGTGATATTATATACCGTTTCTGAAATGTTTTATCGCCGTTTTATTTCGATCACCAATATCAACGTGTTCCTTTTCGTCACACAGTGGTTGGGTGTGTTCGAAGCCCTCAGCGCCACACAACGCCCCGCCGCTCAGCTCCACCGCGCTCGGTAGCGACGCGGCTTCCTCGGTCCGGTGAAGCACTGGGAAGTTCGGTAGAACGGAGCGGGGCGGGGAACTTGGGAGCCCCTAGTAGCTTCTTGCTCCTAGTAGCGATGCCAGGAGCCCCTAGTAGCGTTTTTGCTCCTAATTAAAACATGGTGGGACGTTGGGGGCCGACACTGGACATATTTGGCAGAACATGTTGAAAACACTGGTCAATCGAGTATTCGTATTCCAATCCTGAGCTGGTCTCTATCACACTTGGGACTCCTGCTTTTGAGAACACTGCATCAAAAGCCCCCACGCTGGACCTAGCCATGTTCCAATGCACCGCACCCCACCGCCCTTCGAGTGATCGGCCCACGGCGTTCACACGCCCTCGGACTCCCGACCAGCGGAGCGCTGAGAAACTCCTTGAGGTGAAAGTCTGCGATGTCCACACGCAAGCGCAAGACCTCCAAAAAGGATGCAAGACCTCTAATGACTCTAATGTCCCAATAGACCAGCCCATGGGCCCCATGGGCCCCATGGCACCGCCAGGAAAATCGTTTGACAATGTGACATCCCCTTATTGAGGAATCTCGTCATTTTCAGGGTCCACCAGGCTTCCCGAGGTCGAGACCGACCAGCGACGTCAGGGGCGACGTCACGCCTGCTCGTCTCGCTGCTCCTGTTTGTTCTCAAACTTGTGCCTCGTGAAGACGTCTCCGGTGAGTCCAAGCAAGGAAGACTTGTCCAAGCTCCGGTCGAGTGAGCATGTTTCTGATGATGTACTTAGTAAGTATACTGTAACCCTTTCGGGCAGGGACATTCATAGCGTCGGAACATAGGGCAGTTCCATCCCTCATGCACAGTGTCTGACTCAGCAGGAACGGCCGCCTCACCTTTTTCCACAACGGAGCCAATCGCCGCCCTCTCAAGGCGAAGTCCAAACTCCAGGCGCGTCCGTCATTCATAAGACGCCAGGATGTTCAATGGCAAGTATCACATCATCTTCATCTTGAACTTCAAGGGGATTCACTATTAGATTCATTGCACGGTGACTTCCTGGTGACTTCCTGTCTATCCCCCGTCGACACATTCGAACACATTCATCGTCAATCCTCCGCTTCATCCTGCGGTGCGCCGACTCGCCGGCGCCGGTGCTCGATCGGTCGCCCTCGCCGGAGCGCTCCGGCGACTTCGCCCAGGAGATCCAGGGCGGGGTGCCTGGGTTCTTCCAGGGAAACCCATCCGTTTTGGGGGGCGGAGTGAAAACCATGCATTCCTTTAGCTAAATGTTCCTTTCAAAAAAAGATCCTTTGGAACTTTTCAAGGGGTTACCCTCCAACAGAGATGGACAACCAAATGCCTGGGTGGAGGCTTGGCACCACAAACCATCTAAAACCTCTGAAACCTGTTTGAGGTCATTTGCGATCTTGGGTAGAAGATGGTAGAAGTACAATCCTGTCTTGAAACGCATCTGATTTTACACCCCAAGTAGATCTTGACGGAATCGATTTCTAACTAGGCCTGGTCAATCAAGCATATGATGTATCAACCTGAGAGTAAAAGTATCACCTGACGCGGACGGAAAAAATCTTCTGTGGGAAACCGACACTTCTCCTGACTGAGCTGTGCCAAAGTCGCCATCTCATCGAAGGCCTGAGGGACCTTGCAAGAGGTGAGAGAAGCTTGAAGTCATGTTGGTGTCCTATTTGGTGAAGTCGAAGTTGGCAAAGCTTCTATCGTTGCCTGGGAGGTATCCCTATTTTGATAGGTCTCTCTCTCTCTCTCTTTCCGATTCTAATTCAGAAGCAATTATGTTGTTGGTGATTAAGATATTATGTCATTATGGCCTGTCATGTCCTGCCTCTGCGGGAATATTTGCTTGATCTTACTTGCCTTTAGCATTTCTTGTGAAACCACACCTGTGAATGACACAAATACCCCCCTGTTGGAGATGGAGACTACAAGGATTGTTCAAAAGGAATGTTAAACATTGTCCAACCATCTGCCCGGGCGTCCCATCCCCTGTCTTCGGGCAGCCTGTGGTGCTTGCTCGCCCTGCTTCAGCAGAACCGCCTCGGTGTGATGCAGAAATTCGAGGGACTAGCTGACCAGCTCAGGGGACTCATTTGTTCGTGCTTTGTTCATCCAGCTTTGAGGTCTCGTGATCAATTGCACTGCGAGTCACGGTTGATCTTTCTGCGAGCGCGAAAGAAAGAATGGTTTGTTCAAGACAAATCCATCATGGCTGGTGGGTGGATCTATCCATGCAACCGGAACACTTCCTTCATGGGGCCCTTTGGTATTTGGTCCAAACGAATGGTCCCCCGACTCATGTGACTTTGGTTCCTGGTGCCAACGTCTGAAGTCTTCTACACGTGTCCGCCATTTGGAAGCAAAGACAGGAAGCCAAGGGAAACTATAGCTCCCTGCACCGCCTGCACCTTCAAAGCATTCCTTTCTAGCAAAACTGAAGAAAACGATGATGCGGTGATGGGACAAACATATCAAAAAATCATGTCAAACCCCAGGGATCCGAGATGATCCGAGGGTCCTACCAGTGATTCTGTCTACCATGAAGCTTGACCTGCAGTCCGTCCCTTCCGAATTCGGGGCCCTTGGACTTCGTTCTGAAGACCTTGGTAGGAAGACCTGGTGCAGGTCTACCAGGCCTACCATGGACGACCTGGAGCCAACTTGAGTCAACTATCTCAGCCCTTGCAGCTGGCTCACACTCATCTGGAAAAGGGTCTCCTCGTCATGGTCATTGTCGTCACAGCCACCATCGCAATCTCTCACATCATCCTCAGTGAAATGAAATTGGTATCTTGGTAGGCACGGGGACAAAACGTTAGAAACAACATGAAGCAAACCCTTGTGGGTTCATGGCACGAAGATCCACTAGTCCTGAAGATTTGCAAACCAAAACGGTGTCAACTACACTACAAAAAACACAGAGTGATCGTTGTCCTCACAAGTTGCCTTTGTGAAAACAAAAATGCATCCAAAACCAAAATCACTAAAAAAACAAAAACAACAACAAACAACGTTTAACAACAAAACAAAAAAAAACTGACATACCATTAAACGCGTGGCTCGAATGACTGAGCTGCAACTTCCCTTCAGGGGATGCTGGTACTGATTCAGGCAGTTGGATTTGTCAATATGTGTCACCAGTTCTTGTGCCCAAAGGGGTGTGTAAATACGCATATATGTAGACTACATAATCAGTAAATGGCATCACCAAGAACACCCCACTTCAGACTGGTATGCCCACTTCGGAATCGGCCACTGTCAGAACAACAGGCATAAAGAACAATAGAGGCTGAGGTCTGATGTTGAGATTCTCGAGTTTGGCTCCACCGACAAGGTCTGGAATTGCAATAGGAACATTTCGCAAGGGACCAAACCGCATGGAAAACAAAAGAGTTCCGGTTCATGCAGCTTCAACACCAATCGCACACAACACTTTAAGTCGCACACCCATTCCGCTGCTGAAGAGAGCGAAGACAGGGCCAAGGCCTCAATTGCAAAGTGAGATGCTCAATAGTGAGGTGTAAACAATGCAAGTCTGGCACAATTTTTTAGAAAATGAACCAAGGCTGGTGCTGCCAACACCAAACGCTTCAGAAGCCATGCCATGGCACTGATGGAACGAAACAAAAAGGTTCGGTTTGAGCCATAGACTGGGGCGTTGGGTTTCACAGGGTCCAAGAAAATCACAGCCACTCTGAGCGGAATTGTCCCAAGGTGCTGGGACATGTTCATACATTTTGATACATATTATGTAGTTCGCAAAAAAAAACTCACCCTGAACAGAAACACCTTGTTGCATTTACAGTGAAGGTGGCAACAGTCGGCTGGCCGGGCACCAACATGGTTGAAAAACCTTGCAAAGTCCAAGAGTCACTGGCTGTGTGTGGCGTGCCCATTCACAGACCAAGGTTTCACTTCAATTCTATTGTATACAATTTACCAAATGGACGTGATTACAACAAATAACTCAAATAGCACATTGGTTCAATGGGGGGGGCAATTGCCCTGTGAGATGTCACATGATATCGCATGAACAAAACATAAACCTTGCACTACTGGTCGTTTGACATGAGACATGGACAAACATGGACGCAAACTAAAGACGAAAAGGTTGTGAGAAGGTCCGTGGTCCATGGCTATGTCCATTAGAAACCAGTAGGGTAAGCAAAACCAGCTGCTCGGGCCTCCTGGGCTCACGCTCCACCAGTACACAGCGGAGGCCTCTGGAGAGCCTCAGGTAGGCCACAGAAAGTCACTTCCATGGTGATAGGCTCCAACATGGTTCCACCATACCCTCAAACCTGCTTACGCTGGAACAACCGTGAAACGCAAAGGAGATCGCTGAAAAAGGATTCCAAACCACTGGGCAATTGGAGGGGCCGTCAGCGCCTGAGTACCGCGGCAGCCAGGCCACCCTTCCCGGAGCCGTACTCCACTAGCACGGCCTGGTGGCAAACCCGAGGCAAAGAACAAGGGATAGCCAAGATTCACGATGAATGTAGCGTGTTTTGAATCCAACAAAGGCCTCAAGCTTCGATGTACATACAGTGTCATACAGTAAAGGTTGAGTTCTCCGCTGGCAGCACAGTGCAGCAAGGTTGAAGCTGGAGAAAGACTTCTCGACTCTGCATGTGCACATTTGGCGTGACTGTGTCCACGCAGGACGGTACAAATATCCTACAAGTCAAAGGCCCCAAAGTGCCAAAGGTGCTGCCCGCTGCGCGAAGCGATTCTCAGCCAGTTCATGCGCCAAGGCACATCAGGTGAGGACTCTTGCACATGCGCTTATACTTGTGCTATCACCACCGTGGACTCATCTTGGCCACACTGGAAAACGGCTCCAACCGCTGGCCCTGCTGATACTCACGTCTGACTATATTGTGGGTCATGTAAAGTATGTCAATACATTTTGGTGGGTGAGCCGACAGCCGGTAGGCTCACTTGATAGATGCTAGCCAAGGGCAGCTCCTCTTAGTGCCCCAAACGATGACCGCCGGGGTTGGACGGCCCATTCGCAATGGCCAAAGCGTTCCTGTCTGCAAAGAATAGAAACGCTCTGGAATCTACCCCAAAATGGAGTCAGCACGAGTCAGCACCGAAATAGCATCTTGGAACCACGAACTTGTCCGCCCAAGTGAGCCCCTTCGGTACGGCGCTTTCAGAAGATGTCCAGGCAGTTTCAGCTGCTGTGCGGATGTCTCGACGGATGAACCAAAAGACCCTCCGGTAAAGCCAGGTTGAGGAAAGACGATCCCAGGGCCGATAGGTCCGATAGATGTCTCATTTGGAGGGAGTTGGTCCGAGTTGGTCAAATATATACACATTCCATTCTCAACACTGCCCTCGTGCCAACCGGCTGACAGTCACAGAATGCCGCTTCCACAACTATCCAACTGTGCAAACATATGCAAACAATAGAATTTATATTATATAATTATACGTGTCTTTTCCTGGCCAAAGGAAAAGGCATCTGATGGAGAAGGCTGCAAGGTACTTGTTGCTCAACATGAGGTTTGCCATTCACATAACGGCATAACGACAAACTCTGTGGTGGTGCATACCGACGTAAGTTATCTGTTCCTCAAATCCGCCACAATGCCCGGTAACCAAGATTGGAAGCTTCCCAAAGCGAGATGTCTGAAACAATGCCAGAAGTCCTGAAACAATGCCTATACAATCCCATTCAAGTTTTTCATGGGAAAACCAGTGCCTGTAATGCATGGTCCTTTCCCGCCATTTCCAACTTCATAGTG